CTCTCTCTCTCTCTCTCTTTCTCTCTCTCTCTCTCTCTCTCTCTCTCTCTCTCTTTGGTGAGGGGGGCATGTCGCAGCTACGTGTTTTCATAAATGTATGTGGTGTCTCATGCAATAGATGGAACCCGCGATTGCATCGACTGTCAACGGTGGAGAGACATGCGTCATGGAGACGGAGGACATTCTGAAGGGTTTTGCAGATGGCAGCAAGGAAGGGAATTCGGCAGGAGGGAACAACGCAGACTGTGCAGAGGTGTTTGCGACAATATGTGCACAGACTGCAGAGATGATGGGTGATGGTGATGAAACAGAGAATGATGCAAGAGGGAACACTTGTGAGACGGAAACGGCTGGGGAAGAGAGAGAGGAGGGAGGTCTGGAAAGCAGGGAATCTCTGACAGGGTGTATTGTGAAAGATGAAAATGTGGTGAAAACATCAGCAGGAGAAGAGTACCCATATGACATCAATTGGGTGTCGGGTCGTGTTCAACCGGGTATTGTTGGAGGAGCACCCTGCTTTGCGTTCAAAGTCGAAGGGACATGGGTTCCATTTCCTGCCCCCAAAAAGAATACATGGCGAAACGTGACTCTAACAATCGTGTTTGACAGACTATTAAGGTTGAACGATGGGGCAACAACAGAGGCGAAAGGGCGATATGCATTGGACGTGTGGCGTGTTCTGGAGGCGCAGGGCGAGTTCAGGCTGAACGATTTTTTGTACGACAGTTTTGATTGCGGAAAGGCATGGGTGATTGGCGGGAACGACGCAACAGGGAGTACGGCGTGCCATGAGAGCGATGCGAGGAGGGATCCTAGGTGGGGTTGGGTGCCATGTGTGATCCCGATTCCATGTGGCCGTGTGAGGATGATGATGCGTGATGCCATGGGAAATGTCTGGAGCACGCATTATGTGAATGGCAACTTCTCCTTCAAGCACCTCGACAGGGATGTCTCAGAAGACGAGAAGAAGGCAATGGCATGTAATACCCACACTGTTGGCTGCTTTTTCCCGCCGCTTCAGAACCCTGTGGACTCGGAGGTGGTTGAAGGCAAAGTTTACATTGGTGAGGATGGCAGCACATACACGCATGCAAGAGGGCAGGAAGCCACGTACGATGGAGTATGCTTGCAGATATGGGACCATGTCACAATGAGGAGTGACGTTCTGTCTGCCATGGACATTGGGGCCCGTGTCATCCCTGAAGGACCGTTGCAGCGGCATATGGCCCCTGAAAAGTATGGCTATCATGTCAATTGGGTCCCAGGATGTTTGCATCCTACAGTGGTTAATGGCAAGGTGACGATGGCAGCAAGACTGCAATCAGGGCATTGGCTCCCATTGGGATGGATGCATGCAGGCATTGTGGAGCATTGGCAGTTCCTTGTGGTTTTGGCACGTGTCTCAATTTTCAATGTGAATTCAAAGGACCACGTACTGGTAGTTGAACACGCAAAGCGGTGTTGGGAGAAGATAAGGGAGGAGAGCGTCAGATGGTGTGCGCGGGTTATGACTTCATGGCTAACCAGGGGATGTGGTCCATGGTTGAGGGGAGTTGTACGGCCCAAGAGCACGGCGACGGTAAGAGCAGATACATGGCTCGCAGTTGCCGCAGGCACGGTTGCACGACCGTTCTTGGTTGGGTCCCGGTCGTGTGTCCCATGACATATGAGCATGGTGGAGACGTCACCATGAGATTCAGAGACCCACTTGGTGTGCCTTTACATCTGACCTACTCAGATGGACTCCTGCGAGACATTCGGTATTTACCGGAGGATGGCTTGCCAGGTTCAGCGCAGGCAGGCAAGAGGACAGAGAAACGCTCAGAAATTTTCCGTTTCTCTGCTGAGGTGGAGGGCCCATGTGGTCCTGGTCGCGTCGGGGGGTGCTCTGCAGCACAGGGCCGAGTGATGTTGCGATGTCGTAGAGCCCCGGGAAGAAGAAGAAGTGCACGCCGGGATCGCCACGTGGGCAGACGCCCGCAGGCAGAAAGAAGGTGAACCCGAAGGCAGTGCCAGGGACCGGAGACACCGCAGGTGCACGAACTCAGGTCCCCAGACGCCGTCGACGCCCCGGGATGGCAACTTTGTCGGAAATCAAAAAGTTGCAACGATCTACCGACCTTTGATTGGCTTTCAGGCCGTTCTTGCGTCTCGTGCGTGAGGTTGTGGAGCGGGACATTGCTCCGGGTATGGGGGTGAGGTTTCAGATGACGGCGGTGCGTGCTTTGATGGAGGCTGTCGAAACGTATTTGGTCGCCAATTTCGAAAACACCAACGAGGTGGCCATCCATTCGAAGAGGGTGACGATCCAGGTCAGGGACATGAGATTGGTGGATAGGTTGTCGAAGCCTCGCTGGGTTGAGAAATATCAAGGTATGTTGGACGAGAAGGCGAGAGCTGAGGAGAGAAAGGAACAGATGGACGCCAGACAGGCGGAAAGGGATGGCAGCAGAGCAGGGGCGAAGAAGAGGAAAGCAGTGCCACGTAAGGGGGGGTCCGCGAAAAAAAAAGCAGCTTGATAATTCTACTGTGTGTGCTGCATAACGGTTGTCCTGTCGAATCGTGGACTCCGTGGAAGTCTTCGTGGTGTTAGGTGGGTTGAATAGGTGGAGAGAGAGAGAGAGAGAGAAAGAGAGAGAGAGAGATAGTTCAGGTTCACTAGTGGGGGACATGAAGGTATTGAAGGACGACTTTGTCGCTGATTTTGGCCCACAGTAGTGAACCCCATATATTTTTGTTTTTTTCTTGTTCTCCTTTCTTTCTTTCTTACTTTGTTTTTGTTTTTTTTTTCATTTTCATTTTTTTCTTCTTCCATTCTTCAAGTCTTTCTTTCTTTCTTTCTTTTCGAATGATCGGTCTTTCGGTGGGCTCCAACGACGGAACCTGTTGCCAGTTGTCTCTACTTTCGTAGTCCCGGGTCTTTCGGCCTTGTACTTGTTTTTCGTTTCCGCCCTTCTGAAGACTCGTTGGCACCCGGAGGTCTATCTAATGTGTGTCATAGCCTTCGGTCCACTTACTGTAGGTTTCCATGTGAATGCATGTACTTTGGATCTTTACCAAAATGCGTTCGTAGGTGTTTGCCGTTTGGATGGTTGTGTAGGTCTGTAGGTGCATGGTGCGTTGTACGTCTACGAAAGTTGGGTACAAGTACGCCACTCGTTGAATTAGGGGTTGTTGTCGTTGCTTTTCTTGCCATGGGCTTGGTGGAGGTCCCATTGTCTGTCTGTTCTGTTGTTGTGGACATGTGCGCAAACCATCACAGTATTCGTATGTGAGTGTACACTAAGCGTGTTTGTTGTTTCCTTTCTCTGACTCTACATTCTTTCATCTAGTGAACTGTAATTTATATGCTGGGTTTGTTAGTATCAAACCCTCTTCTCCCTCTTCCACGTGTGCAAGCGTTTCTCTCTTTCCCACCCTCTGTCTGTCTGTCTGTTCTGTTTTGCGGTCCTGACCAATTTCAGAGTGTTCACTCGGCAGAAAGTTCAATGGCGTCCAATTGCAAAAATAAATGTTTAAACATGAGGGGAGAGAGAAAAAAAAATGTCATTCCGAATTCTGCTTCCTCCCCTCTTATTTAAACAAGAAAGAACAATAATAATGTTCAATGGTTGAACATCATCTATGTTGCATTGACGAATCTCTACCGCAGGAAGAAATCCTGCATAGGTCAACGATATGCATGGACAACACAAAGCAGTTTTGTGGTCTGTCTGCTCCGTCTGTTGTGTCTGTYTGTCTGTCTGTCTGTCCATCTGTTTGTCTGTCTGTCTGTCTATCTGTCTGTCTGTCTATCTATCTATCTATCTATCTATCTATCTATCTATCTATCTATCTAGCAATCTAGCAATCTATCAATCTATCTATCTATCTATCAATCTATCAATCTATCTATCAATCTATCAATCTATCAATCAATCAATCAATCTATCAATCTATCAATCTATCAATCTATCAATCAATCAATGAATCAATGAAT